AAATGAATGTAAAAATAGGGCGACACAGGTGATCCAGTGGTTAGCGCGTCGATCTCACAGTGCAGAGGTACCGGGTTCAATTCCAGCTCCGGCATCCCTGTGTGGAGTTTGCATGTTCTCCCCGGGCCTACGTGGGTTTTCTCCGCGTGCTCCGGTTTCCTCCTACGTTCCAAAAACACGCATGGCAGGCTGATTGAACACTCAAAATTGTCCCTGGGTGGGAGTGTGAGCTCGGGTGGTTTTTCATCTCTGTGTGCCCTGCGATTGGCTGGCAACCGGTTCAGGGTGTCCCCCGCCGACTGCCCGAAGACGGCTGGGATAGGCTCCAGCACCTCCCGCGACCCTTGTGAGGATAAAGCGGATCAGAAAATGGATGGATGGATGGATAATGTAAAAATATTATTCGATGAAAATTTAATTATAGGGTAGAGGTCAATTTGTGAAAAAATACATCTAATAATAAATCGATTAATGTGGGAGAATTTTCACTGAAAGTTTGGGGGATTGTTCACATTTTGAGGTTAGAATTTGTTGAATCGGTGAAGAAATTGTTCACAGTGGCACACGGGTCAAGCTGGCTTGCAAATAGCAAAAATCGGCAGATCATTGACCCCCTTTATAAAGGGTTTTCTTCAACCCTTTGTTCTGTCCTTTCCCTTCATTGTGGCGCAGCAGGCACGAAGGAACGGTAATTTACATCTTAATTTAATCTGGATTTAGGGGAGAAATTATTGTGTCGCGCTAATTCTGTCTCACATCAAGGGACCGTCACTCCAAAACGATTCACTGGCCTACTAAAAACGAAATGACAGGGCCAGGTTTTGAGTTTTTGATTGATTGCCATCCAAAAGGAGAAGAAGAGAAAAGGAGAAGAGTGACGCTAAGAGTGAGAGCTCGTGGTTGAAGTTGGTGCCCGCCACTTTTTCATGCCCATGTAAAATGGTGATTTAATATGAGGATGAATTACTTGAGTGCCGTATTCAAGTGTTCCATTGTTCTTCAAAACTGCCTCCTCACATCTGCCGACTGCTTAATTGTACCTCTTATTGCGTTCTATCAACCTGCCTTAAATATAACTCTAGCAGAGTGTAAATAAACTCATTAGGAGTCAACGTGGCTGCCTTTTCAATGATGAACACTGCATAATGGATGCATAATGTGTTGGGGGGAGGGGGAGGTTCCTTTTGTGCCCTATTGAAGCCTGATTTAAGCTGACACTTCATTGATGTTGACTTATTGTGAAATGGCCGTTGAAAATCTCACCTTGGTATGAATGCGACGCTCCATTTTGAGTGAGACTGTCAGAGTCATTCATTTTGAAAAACGTTTAAATATGGTTTTAAAAATGTTCTGTTCATTAAGTGGCCAGTAAGTGGATATGCTTTTATTACCGGTAGTTTCAAAAGCATTGCACTCTGCACTGTACTGATACTTGGGAGGTAGGGGAGGAAGGGTGTATTTAAGATGATGTTTCTCTTATATTAATTAATCGTAATGTCACAGTTGTGCATCAAACACCGCAACGGACCCTGACATGTTTTGCCATCCTCAGTAATTTTTTTTTTCATGCCTAGAGACTAATCAAAACACTTCAGGGAAAAAAATCCTGATGTAGGTTGTTATTATTTGTGCATGAAAGGGTTAATTACAGAAACCCCAAAAATCATCTTAGGTAGATGGAAATAAATGAAGCCTCGCCGCTGTTCAAAAGTGAGGAGGAAAAAGTGGCATGTGGCTTTCTCTATACATTCCGAGGATAGTTCTGCTTGTGCCAATGACATCATCAGTCGTTGAAGTAGCTGACAGGAGTGACAGCCACAATAGCGGCGGATGCTTGAGGTGCAATGACGCTTCTCCAGCGGAGCTTAGCGGCCTTCGCAGGGTCTTTGGCTCCGTGCTGATTGAAAAGAGGCAAAAAGGAGAAGACAATTTCCGAGTAAAGGACCGCACAGAACCTGCGAGGCAGTGAAAGTCAGCCACCCGGTGATTGCATAAGTATCGGGCCCGACGCGCCCGTGTCCATTGGTATGCTCTCACCTGAAAAAGCTTCTTTGGCTTGCCAGTCTGTAAAAGAAAAGCAAAGGTTGAAACTTGAGAGAGCTGCTGCATGTCCGCCAAGGAAGGAGGCTGACAGCTGAACCAAGGCCATCAAAGTTGGAAAAAAAAGTTGCCTGTAGTAAAGTTATAATGCTCATAAATATTTGTCTGAAAAATTACTCAAGCAAGACAAGATCGTCGCAACCGAGGACTTCTGACAGCCCTTTCACCTTTGCTCCTACCTTTAATTGTTTTTCAGAGTTGCATGGCGGCCTGGAGCAAATGGTCTCATTGGCTTGAGGTTGACCGCCACTGATTTAACCCTCGAAACAGCAAAAGCAAAACTTTAAACCTCGTGCAAATTTCATATGCAGGAAAATCCGAGACTCTACCAGGCTTTCATTAATTTGCAGTTTTCCTCCATTCGGCCACACTGAACAATTCATCCAGAAAGTCCACAGCGTTTTTCCCGCCACTGCGCGCTAATGGGATTGTGGATGATTGATCATACCGCTTATAGATACAGAGTTCTGCTCTGTTTTTTAGTGCCAAATCGCAGGGTTGGTGATTAAAAAAAAAAAAAAAATACACATCAAGACCTTCTTTTTCACAGTTTTCATCGCGGAGACCAGCCCATTTATCGCACCATTTATGCCAACTTCCTTCATCAAGATAGGAATCGCAATCAGCACCATTGTCACATTGTCTAAGATTTAGCAGAGATAGTTTGTGTCACCTTGTGGAATTATATTCTGCTTCGTTCGCAGCGGCGGAAGACGCTCTCGTTACTGCCACTATAGCACAGAAGTATTTGGATATTTAACGGGACGGGAGCTTGACTTTCTCTAAAAATGAATTGTAGAAAATTCCCAAAATTACAAATTTGAAAAGCTCATACTGACCAAGTATTTCCCGTTGTTGATCCTCAGCCCTCCATCCCACCACCACCACCACATCGCCACGCACAGAAAACGCACGGAAAAAAATTCAAAAGAGGCGGCGATGACCACAATAACAAAGAGCGCGTCCAATCACGTTGACGAAAACCAGCAAAATACTTTCGGATCAAGCCGACTAACCAACTATGAAACATCTTGAGATTATTTTGTTGACAGTTGTGCTTAATAGCTTGCTTCTCTTTACCGAAACCATCGTCAAGCGATCATCCCCCCACCCTGCCCCCCCACCCTCCTATCCACTCAACAGCTTGTCCTCATTTGTTTGCCCAGTGCATTAATTAGCTGTAGGATCACACATTGTGTACTGACGTAAACCGCTTTGATGTGTAATTAAAACTCGATCTGTTTGCCGTTTGATTACCTCTTAACAGTGCAAGCAGTTGTGCCTAAGAGCCTGTGACCGCCCCTCTCGTTGACGTCACCCGACTCCACTGACATTTTTTTTTACAAACCAGCAGGTGCAGGGAAAAAAAAAATAGCTCCACTGCTGCCAGCGGTTTTTTTTTTGTTTTTTTTTTTAGTCCCTGAGCAATATCCAGTGGCCTACAAAAGCCTTTAACTGATTTACTTCAACTCCTACGAGCCACGCGTTGCTGATCATTTTTCCCAAAGTCCGGCAAACACTGCGTTGTCGACTTCTTCTCAAAAGAGCTGAGTTTTCAAAGGGCTTGTTAGAGCGGTCTGGTAATAAGTCCGGAGAAGAGATCTTGTGAGGACACTCAGAGGAAGCATCTTTATTTGGGGAGGGAGGGGTGGAAAAAAAAAAAAAAGGCCAAAAATCGCTACCGCTGCAAATTCGCCGCTTCATAATTAGATGTGCCTGAAAAGTATGCTGCCGGGAGTCGTCTGTTTTATTCAATACGGGCTTCTCTCCTTTTTTTTTTTTTTAAATCGCTAAATTGCAACTGTGTGTGTACTCTCAGCAGGAAAGCACAATAGAAATGTTGGTCTTGTCTACTGAGTAGGACGGCGGTGGTAAGCCGGCATCCAAACAGAGATGCAACCTCGTTTCAATCACCTCTTAACTGCTCAGGCTTGCAGTTCCAACGAATAGCTCTTTGGTGTTCTTTTGAACGTCCCTCCCCTGTAGGAGTTGCGGTCTTCCTCGCAGAATACCCGGTTGCCTTTTCACAATAGTGCAACAGCTCCAGGTTGTCAGCATTTCCCGGAGGTAGCGGCAGCTCTGGAGGCAAGCTTCTGTGCAATTAGCATCATTTCCCAGGCCTGCGATGTCTGTTTTGCGGTTAGATGCCCCAACGCATTTCAATAATTTGTCCGTCTTAAGATGAGAATTTGATCTGATTTTGGACAAAATTAAAATCTATGTTGTAGTCAGTAAATGAATTTTAAAAAAAAAAGAAAAAATTGCACTAGTCTCAACCATCTTGCATATCATTTTGGGTTGGGCTTTTTTTTTTCCAGAGGTTTCACATTGTCGCATGCTTTGTGATCTCAGCAACCAGTTTTCTCAAAGGTCGTCATGGAAAAATACTCATTGCAAAACATGTCGCTGTACATTTTGAAAGTGTTCTTATTTTTGCCCGAAAGTTTGCAACAACCAAGTATCTTTTGTTTTTGTTGATTTTCAGAGCTAAAAAAACCCACCAAAAAAAAAAAGAGCCGAACGAGCAACACTGCAGCTTCCAACCATGATTTCCCACACCCCGATCTGAACACTCTGTGTCAAAACTTCACGCCTGGGCGATTTAAATGTGTCAGACAGAAACGAAATAAAGAAAAAAAAAGTGTCCGTCCCATTTAAAAATTGCCTCGCGCTTGTCTGGTGACCAGCCGAGATTGTAGTCCGCTCAAGTCAACAGGTCAAACCTTGTCGTGACTCCGAAAACGATACGAAGGATAGAAAATGAAAAAGGGGGTGATAAGCTCAGTTGGAAAGCTCATGCAAATGTCTGCTCGACAAATGTTCCCGTGAAAACGATTTTCCATTTTTTTGCCCCCCCCGCCCCCGAAATAATGTTAACGTGTGTCTCCTCTCCTTTTCAGCGCCTTTGACCGACAAGCCTCCCAAGATCCTGTTCCCCTTGGAAAACAAGATTAGCAACATGGAGCTGCAGCTAGGTAAGATTTGTTCCGCCGGTATTAGTAGCTGCGTGGCTGTCGCAGGACACCCGACAGACCTCTCCAGCACGCTTGAGGATGCTGGCTGACGTTATTTTTGCTCGTAAAAGAAGTGTTGACGAGGTTTTCTAGGGATGGGCGTTCTAATGGACTGATTGAGTGTTAGTTCTGAAATTGATTGGTGATTCATTGAGTCTTGAAGCAAATGAGGCAAAATAAAGTGTACTTCTTGGCTGCAACCAGCAGAGGCACTCTCGCTCTCCATTGCTGTCAAAGGAAGACAAACAAAAGGTCGGTTCCGGGAATTCACATCCACGCGAAGCTACTTGATGGCGTTACAGGGATTATTCTGCTCAATATAAACTACTTACAAAAGTTAGGCACATTTTGTCTTTTGGGGAAACTTTAGGATGAATGAAAATGCACTACTGTGTAACCTTTACGATTGACGTTCATTTGACCTTTTCTAAACTTTAGAATGCACATGGCCCACTGTTCAATGCTTCCGTACTTTTGCACAACTTGCTTTTCTCGAAGAAAGAGCTGAGCGTCAACATTCACAACAGGTGTTTGAGCTATAAATGGAATCTACTTTTCTTGGTTCAATTGGAAATGGGACTGAACTCTCCTCTTCATCATTCTGTTTGCACTTTGTTCCAGACAACACCTAAAAAATTGATCAAAAGCTCCATGGCATTTTGGGGCTTCAAATAGGAGGTTCTCTGAGACAAGCTGAAAGTGTAACAGAGTTTTCATCGGCGGGCTGAAAAAGAGACACAGAGTGACAGAAAGGCGAGGGAATAGACGTCCTCAGCGATGTATTTATCGATTCATGGATCAAACACCTGTTGTGAATTCTCCCCATTCTGCTTCTTGTGAATGCACAACAATTTGTGCACAAAGCACTGAAATATTGAATGGACTCGCCTGGGCATTCAGAAGTTCAGAGTCGGACAAATTAAACAATTTCTATATCGAAATTAATTTCCCCAAGTAATAATTCATTCATTCATTAATTTTCCGATCCGCTTATCCTCACAAGGGTCACAGGGGGTGCCGGAGCCTATCCCAGCTGTCTTCGGGCAGTAGGCGGGGGACACCCTGAACCGGTTGCCAGCCAATCGCAGGGCACACAGAGCTGAACAACCATCCGCGCTCACACTCACACCTAGGGACAATTTAGAGTGTTCAATCAGCCTGCCATGAATGTTTTTGGAATGTGGGAGGAAACCGGAGTACCCGGAGAAAACCCACGTAGGCCCGGGGAGAACATGCAAACTCCACACAGGGAGGCCGGAGCTGAAATTGAACCCAGTATGAACCCAGTACCTCTGCACTGTGAGGTCAACGCGCTAACCACTGGACCACCGGGCCGCCTCCAAGTAATAATATTTTTTTTTTTAAATGCTATTTAAATGACTCTGCATCTCTAGCGTTTTCCAAATGGCGGTGAGTGCGAAGACCCCCTGGGCTATTTTGTCAACAATGGCGAGCCCATATGGCGCCCGGTTCCATAAGCTGATTCGCGCCACATGGAGAGGCGGTCGCTGCCAATCGCCGTTGTTTGTCTTCTTGCTGACGTGGGGGTCAAAACATGGCCGACCAAGCGTGTGCGCGCATGCCGCTCGGGCGCAATAGCGCGCCACTTTGTTTCTGAGCCCATGCTGCCAGGCACATGTTGGTGAATGGTGTCTGTCACGGCGAGGCGCATCACACAAGATGGAGAGGTCTGGAAAAGCCGACGAGGGGCTGATAGGGAGGGTGGGGGTCCAGACAAAGACAGCGTAATGATTCACAGCGAGTTAAGCTTTTTGTCTCCCGCCTCACGCCGCCAAAGCAGAGCAGGTATCTGGCTGCACAGTTGGCTGATCAAGAGTGAAAAATTGATGCCGTTGATAAACTGACAAGCTGAGCCGCGCATGCCAGCGCGACCGTACATGAAGAGGTTGCACAATGACAGGCCCTTCTGCTGTTTGTATTGTTTGCACTGAGATGCGGAGGAAACGTGTCGCCGCAGAAACCTCGAAAGTCGAACGTAATTTTTATGTTTTTTTTCCGTCACGCTAGTTGTATTTTAACATTGTCACACAAGTATAAAATGGATTCAACCGCTAATGTGATGCATAGTGGAACAGGAGGCCACTTGGAAAATTGACTTCATTAATGGCTTGTATCCAAATACTGTATAGTGATTTCCCCCCCCCCCCCCCACGTGTGAAATTACACAACCAACTAGATCTTGTTTTGCACTTCTGCTTTACTGTTACATAACAGTGGGGCTAATGGACATTAACCACTCCTGCAATGGCTTTTTGCATTGTGACAAGAGGCGACGATCCAAATCCAACAACGGTTGGAGTCTGGCCACCGTACCCAATTGTGCAGAGGCACTATCACGCCGAAACACCCACATTGAGCAAAGCAACATTCTCTTGGATTCACATATGAGCTGTAGCTTCATTTTTTTGTTTTTTAGGGTATATTCACGCCTGCACTGTTTGGTCCACATACCAGAGTTTGTTCCCCACACCGCTCTGGACCTTCTATGCGGGTGTGAATACACACAAACGAATCTTGGTGCAGACCTAGATCCGATATTTGAGGTGGTCTCCGTGCACTTCCACAACAAACTTGGTGAAGTGTGCTGCAAGTCTGACATTAGGTGAGCAAAGTTGAGGTAGCAGCCTTAATCACTCAGTGTTCCTCTCCAAATCCAAATCAGACGGAGAATCCTATCAAGGGGAATAGGAACAAAATCAAGAGGAAGTAAAAACCTTGCCAGATTTAAAATTGGTAACAACGCTCACAGCAAGTCATCCACATGACTGCTGGCCACTATTTTACATCATGACACCCATAAAACACCCACCTCATGCTCGGGAAAAAAAAAAATCATTGGACATCGCTTACAGTCTTTTCTTCTTTAAATGAGCAATTAAAAAAAAAAAGGGTCTCATAGCCAAGAAAAAAAAGCAAAGAGAGTCCATCCTTTGATGCTGACCGAAATGGAGTCAAGTGAGGCTCGTATGATCTGCTGACATCACTATTTTGAAATTTAAGGCAGCCATTTCCTTCAAGGCATTCAGAAATTGACGTTCCACTGCATGCGTGCGCGCCAGACTGTCTATTTTTGTGTGTGTAGTAGTACAAATGGTCCGCCATCGGTCAGTGTCGAGCTTTTTGGCCGCAGTCCCGGCAGCAGTTTGGTTGTAGCTTGTCCTTGTCTGCGTCTGTTCGGGGTGATTTAGCATCTCGTGTCGGCCTTGGAGGCTCCGGGAGAGGGAATGAGAACAATAGACGTGAGCAATGTGGCAACGAAGTTCTACCGAGAGGCACTTGAACTCCTCTGATTGTGCCATCACACTCTTGTTTTTTTTGCTCCGTGGCCATCTGGAGTCAAGTGATGGAAGTCCGGCTTGATTGAATTGCAAAGTTTCTGAGATCCTAATTCCACCGTCAAATTACTTGGCACAGTCAGACGGTGCTCGTGATTTAGATTTCGACTTATCGCCTTCCTGTTGACCGTTGCTTTGAGCTATTGTTGTGGGCTTTTGAGCAAGCGGCCTTTTATTTATTTTTATTTTTTTGTTGCTTTCATGTCAAAATGAATTAGAATGCATTGATGACATCATGAGTTTTCTTACCTTGTGTACAACTCAACTTGGCAAATAAATTCATCCCTCAAATAACCCACAAATCATTCACACAGGGACGTTAAAGAGAATATTTTGCGTGCCTGCTCTCTGTCAAGCGGTCATCTCGCGGCTTCTTTTTGTTTTGTTACACTGATGACATCACTGGAGTCTTTTTAGGTTTTTAAAAATAAAAAAAGGACACCAGAGGAAAAGGTACATTATTTCATGCACGGATTCGTCGTAGACTCCCTGCAGAGTGTCCCACCCCAGGTAAATATTTGACAGCAAAGCTCTTTGTCTGCACACAAGTTGTCTCTCCCACGAGTATTTATTTTTAGTTTATTCCTTCCCCACTTCCTTAATATTTGTCGAGTCACGCCCTGGGCAGCTTTATGGAGGTGCCTCGGCAGATTTACGGTGGCCAGAATGCACACGGATGGAGGCCAGCCCTCTTAGATTTTTTTTTTAAAGTTGGACAGGGAAGGAGATGAAGTAGGAATGTGATGGGATGTTGTGGAAGGGCAGTAAAATGTGTGCAGTACGCAGGAGGATGAATAGGCAACCCTTGGAGCCATTTTCATCTTGTATGTACGTGCAGTCATTACGGGGGGTTGGGGGGGCATCATTAGATAGGGAATCATTTGTTAGTCGAGTAGCCATAATAAACTGTATCCTGACTTAATTCACATCGCTGGCTTTAACAATCCATTTTGGTCCCATTGTGATGGGAACCAATGAAACCAGACGTCTGTTACCTATGTCCAGCCTACTTGGTAATTTTGTTTTGGTCGGTGTCATTTCAGAAATTCCCACTTGCCAAAAATAAGATTTTGCACATCATAGTAAGATATGCCATTCTTTTTCTTTTTGGCAGTTTTGAAGGCTTCATTGTCACATTTAGGACCCTGTCACTAAATATTATGCAGAGCGGGCTTCGTGCATGACAATCACCGGGAGCCACAAAGCCATTTTGTGAGTAGGACTCCTGATAGTGTCTTTTTAATTAATGCAGCTTTTTTTTTTTTTTGGGTGGGCGCTTCTACTTCTATTTCATCATTTAGCCTTTTCCTCTTTCTGAAGGAGATCGCTGAACACATTTGTTGCTTTATTCATTTTTCTTAGCCTGTGTTCTTAGCCATACACGAAGTCTATTCGTGTATGGCTTGTTTATAACAGCCCTCCAATATGGCCGCCGGTAGTGCATTGTGGGTAATTGCTAAAAGGATGGAGCCCTCTATTTCTTGGATAATGTCTTTTATTTTGCTTCCTCCATCTTTCATTTTGATCACTTTTACCCTCTTTTCCAGCGTCCGAGCTCTTCTTGTCTTAGCTGCTTGGCATCCAAAGGTCCGTTTGTAGCCATTT